TGCGGGATCCCCTGTGGTACGGCCAGTCGGGCCCGGCAGCTTCCGATATCTGGTCGTCTCAAAGCCTTAGGGGTGCCTACCCCCCGGCCTTTGCGCTCTGCTAAGTTCCCGCTGGGACTTCCAGACCTCACCCCCTTTGAGGCCGCCAAGGTTGAATCAGCAAACGCTGTTTATCGCACATGCGTGCGAGTGCTCTTTGCGGCGTACAAGGTCAACTCTATCGTCAGCATCGAGAACCCCGCTCGGGCGTGGACGTGGGCTGCCTTGGCTGCCCTGGTGGTGCAATTTGGACGAGACAATGGTTGCCCCGACTTCGTTGATTGGTACTTTGACCTCCAGGATGTTTTCTTTTCCATGTGTATGCACGGAGGCCACCGCAAGAAGGACACACGCCTCAAAAGTTCGCCTCAGGTCTTTTCTTCATTGGCCGCCCCATGTGACGGCCGTCACTCCCACGAGTCTTATGGCCAGAGGCGTGAGGGAGGCACTTGGAAGTTCGACACGGCCGCCGAGGCTCAGTACCCTCGAGATCTTTGTGTCCGCATGGTGCAGGCGGCCTCCCAGGCAGTTGCCCCGGCGATGTTCGCCGACACTAGTCGCCGATTTCGTTTGGATTCTCTGGCGGCCCTAGGCGAGCAGACTGTGAAACATACGCCGCTTATACCCGAGTACCGCCAGGTCGTGTGGTCCTCACGAGTGCCTTCCGCGGAGTGCAAACTCCTGCCTGACTACTCCAAGGAGCAGTGTGATGTGGCCATTCACGCAGCCGATGCACCTTCCTGGCCAGTGGTTCTGTCATCAACTGGGCTTCATGATCCTGTTCCCTTGGATACTTCGGCCACCGAGAAGTTGGCGTGGACCCTACTTCAGCGTCAAGAGAGGAGGTTCTTCAGTTGGTTAGCTTGCTGCCCCGACCCACCCATTCCCGACGACAAGCTGTGGCGACTGGTTTGTCTTGGATTACCGGAGCATACGTCTTCTCTTCAGAAGTCGGATTGCATTCATCAACCGGGGCATTGCCTTTCACACGCGCTTGCTGGCCGAGGTTCTTTTGCACTTCGCCCCGGGAATTGTCTTTTCCTCCCTCGCAGTCTTTGCCGACTTCACCAGTCCCGAGCACAAGGACGCACATAATGATCACCGCTTCTACAACGCAATTGTTCCCCTCTCGGAGTTCCGCGAGGGTGGCGTGCAGGTTGCTGGTCAGATCCTGCCCGTTGCGTCCGGGCCGTGCTTTCTGCAATCAGGGCTCCCCCACAAGGTTCTCCCGGCCGTTGGTCAGCGTGTTGTGCTGGTCGGATTCACCATTCGATCTTGGGCCTCCCTCCTCGCTGCCAACGTCGCTCTTCTGCGCCAACTTCACTTCAGTTGGCCTGCCGATTCTGAGCGTCCCTCCAATTTAGCGGGGGAAGGGTCGGCTGGAGGTCGCATTTACCCTGACGGAGGTCGAGAGCCTCGAGCTTGGGGAGTTTACCATTCTATGGAAGAGCATGTGAAAGCTGCGGCGAGCTTAGAGCACCCGGCTGACTCCTTG